AACAGTCGTGTGAAACCACCAATTAAGACGACAAATCAGTTTACGTTGAGGCAGCATTAGTATGTAGATGCAGTTCTAAGTCTCATTTCCATCAGAGCCAGATAGTTCAATGCCTCTGTTTTCCCAGGTTTTGGCTGAGACTGGGACTTGGATGTGAGTATGCTGGCTTCAGCTTAATTCAAACAAGAAAGAGGGAATGTTAATGCATCAGGGTAAGGTGGAAGAATGGAGGATATCTACCTGGAATTACACCTGAAATTACAGCGGTCTTCTGTGGCCAAAAGCACCTATTTTTATCTGCATCTGGTTAGGCAACTCTGCAGCTTGCCTTGGTGAAACATTATTTTGTGGCTTGTGGATTGGATTATTACAGTGTCCTCTAAGTGGGGCTGTACATGGAGACTATCTGGTGGCTACAGCCAGTACAGAATGAGGCTACTTACCTTCTTTGTTGTATTAGCCATGGCAAACATATGAGCACTTTTCTCCTTGAACTGCACTGGTTACCTATTTGCTTCCAAGTTCAATTCAAGATGTGGACTTTGATCATAGTCTGAGTCATGATTATTTGAGGCATTGCCTCTCTCCACAACATCTGACCGGAGGTGCTGAGTGAGCACAGCCTAGATTTGATTGTCTGGGGGCTAGTGCTGAATATTATCAACAGGCAGTCTTTTACTCTGGAATTTACTTCCCCTACTGATCTGAGGACACAGTGCAAGGCCCATCTCCTTTCAGGCTACCAGCTGTGTGAGTCACATGAGGATTTTGGAGGTAGTGAGGTATGGTCTATTTATTTTGGGGAAATGGTTTCTTCCTGTTATTTCTATGATATGTGTAACTGAGCGTATTTTAGAGTGATGATATATTTTATTTTGTTATACTTGTAACTCTTTCTAGTTTCATTCCTTATACTTGAACTCACTTAATCCTATGTATATTTTGTTCATAAATTTGTTTTATTTTTACTATATACCAGCTCAGTGCTGTGTTTGAAGGGAAGAGTGTATTTACCCCAGTTAAGTTAATAAGCTGTAATGTGCTTTTGTCTCCTTTAAAGGAGCAACAAACCTTATTATAACTCTGAGTGGCCCTGGTAAGGGCTGGACACTCAGGGCACACGGTTGTAGGGAAATTTGGAACTGGGAGTGTGTTGGGGTCACCTTACTCGTTGTAACCCAGGCTGGTGGAAGCCAGAGTGGGGCTGTAGACAAGCTGCTGTGGGCAGAGCTGCTGAACCAGGGCTGTGGTGGGCATGCCTACAAGCTGGCTATGAGCATCCCATGATATAATGATGATCTATTATATGTATTGCATCCTAATGGGCATGGCACAGCTATAACACTACAAACTACTTAGAAATCTAAATAAAAATAATCATAATTAATAGCCAGAATATGGAGTCAGCATTTTAGTTTGATTTTGCTTCTGATCCTGCATTCCAAAAAGCAGCAGCAGCAGCAACAAATTTACTCTGATTTTAAATTTGAACCATCATTCCAAGAAATAAATCAAGAACATCTATAATTTTCTTCCATCAATCAAGCTTTATGCCAAACTATTTTTATACCAAGACAGTGAGGTTCTTTGAAGTACAGACATAAACCTGCTGAAGAAAAATGTTCATCTGTAAGCAGAAGGTGTTTGAATCTGAGATAACTTGTCTATTTTAATGGGCAGGTAATTAAACAGAGAAATGCAAACCTCTAATGAAAAAGAGCTCTTCTTTGCTGGTTTGGATGGTACCCCATCAGGGCAACTGCTCGATATATTTAGGCTATGTCTACATTGCCTCGCAGTTCGGACTATGGGTGTGAGTGGGGGGTGAATAGCAGTGCACACTCTCCCACTGTAACTCCGCCATATAGATTCTAAAGGTGTGAACAAAAAAAAGTTCTTAGTTGGCATTAACTAAATGCTGTTTTGGGGGCAATGTAGACAAGCCCTTAGGGTCCTTGAGAAAGGAGGAGATTTGGATTAGTAAATCTAGTAACCAATCTGCAGAGGTGGCACAATTAGTCTAGCCTCTGGGAAATATTTTCTCCTCCATATGGAGTTGCACTGAGGTCATTTCCAAAAAGAAACAAAAATGACACAGTATCTTCTTCCAGTAATAACAAAGTGAAGGGCTAAGGCTAGTGCAGGTACTAATTTCCCACCTCTGGAGACCTGGAGTTAGGTTACAAAGGAAGTAATATAACTTCGCATTTCTATAACCCCTTCTACCTAAGAATCTTAAAGGAATGAAGCCTCACAACACAGACAAGTGAGTAAATATTATGACAGGACACAGGATGGAAACTCCAACTCCGGAGTCTTAATATATTTAATAAATCTTGATATATCTTGATTTTAGTAAGGCTTTTGACATAGTCCCACATGGCATTCTCATAAGCAAACTAGGGAAATGTGGTCTAGATTAAATTACTATAAGGTGGATGCACAATGGTTGAAAGACAGTACTCAAAGAGTAGTTATCAATGGTTCTCTGTCAAACTGGGAGAGCGTATCTTGTGGAGTCCCTCAGAGTCAGTCCAGGGTCCAGTTCTATTCAATACTTTCATTAATTACTTGGATAATGGAGTGGAGAATATGCTTATAAAATACACAAATGACACAAAGCTGGGAGGGGTTGCAATTGCTTTAGAGGACAGGGTTATCATTCAAAATGACCTTGACAAATTGGAGAATTGGTCTGAATTCAACAAGATGAAATTTCATAAAGACAAGTGAAAAGTATTTCATTTAGGAAAGAAAAACCAAATGAATAACTTCAAAATGAGGAATAACTAGCTAATCAGTAAAGGGTCTGGGGGTTATAGTGGATCACAAATTGAACATGAGTCTACAATGTGATTCAGCTGAGAAAAAGGCTAATATCACTCTGGGGTGCATTAACAGGAATGTTGCATGTAAGACATGGGAGGTAACTGTCCCGGTCTACTTGACACTGGTGAGTCTGGAGTACTGTGTACTGTGCCTCAGCTGGAGTACTGTGTCCAGTTCTAGGCACCACAGCTTAGAAAAGATGTGGACAAACACGTCAGCGATGGTGGTTTACTTGGTCCTGCCACAGTGCAGGGGGCTGGACTTGATGACCTCTTGAGGTCCTTTTCAGCCCTACATTTCTGTAATTCTATGATTCTTCTTTGACCTCAAGACCATCCTTCCTTTTGATGAGAAAGAAATGAATTTGCTACGAGAGGCGGTTACTGCTCAAGAGACTGTAGGTTTGTCTACACAGCAATCAGAGGTGTGACGGCAGCACATGTAGACAAACCTGAGCTCACTGTGAGCTAGCTAACTCAAACAACAATAGCAGTGAAACCATAGCAGAAGAGGCAGCAACACGGGCTGCACACGTCTGCCAAGGACCACGGGGATATACTCAAGCAGCTAGCCAATCTTGCTGCAGCTTTACTGCTGCTGTCATTCAAGCTAGATAGATCAAAGCTAGCTTGGGTATGTCTACAAGTGCTGCAGTCAGTCACAACTAATTGCAATGCAGACATACCCTCGGATTGCAGTGGTGCTGTTGGTCAGCACTGAGGTGGATTGTCAGAGATGTTTGGGGATACTGCACCATTCCTGGTCATGCTTAAATCAACCCAGTGAGCACTGACCTTCTCTTGCTTTGATTAGTGCTCAGATGTCACTAGCATCACCAACACTCACTTCTCCACTGCAGAGAAAAACAAAGCAGGTGTTTCTGGGGCAAGAGGAGAATGATGGCCTTTAAATATTCAACCCTCATCCCTCATTACTCTGCAACAGAGACTTCAACCTAAACCACCACCTTGGAAAAATAAAACCCAGTGGTAAACTTGGGGTCTATAATGAATGGATAGCAGCAATTCATACCAGCAGCATCTCTTCCTTATATACTTAAAACTAATCAGGTTCAGTAAATGAAACTAGGTTGCAGACAACTCCCTGAGAGAACTTAAAGTACACAATCAACTTTATCATAGGAAAATGATTGACTGGAAAAAAAGGTGGTCTGCCCTGCCCCACCACCTCCAAATCACACTATATCATTTAAATGTTTTAAAATGCATTTAGTACAACATGTAATATGTTATCCTTGGGGTTAAACGCATTCCTCTTGTAAAATCATCTAAGCGGTGGTTGTGGGACTTAGTTACTCTTAGGAAGCTTGAAACAGCTGAAAGCCTACGATAATTCATGTGTTTGAAGCTCAGCGTTTGTTGCTTACTGGCACAGACTTCTGCAAAAGGTTAAATGTGGTCAGCAAATGAACAAAAAACAAAAAAGAACTAGTCCCAGCTGCAGCCTGCCCAAAATTCTTGCAGCAGCCTCGTGGTCCAGTTCATAATGCCACCCAGTGGACACAATGTTCACATGAGTTTTTCTCCTTCATGAATACCAAAGATTTAACAGCAAGGACTTAATAGGGAGAAAATAATATGATTTCTGAGTATGAACCTATCCTTAAGAAAGCAGCTGAAGAATAGCGTTCCATGTCTTATGAGACACGCAGCTCCATAAAGTATTTACAAGGGACAGAGATGCAACATTAAGTAGTCTAATTCACCAACCGATATATAGCAATTGCCACTAAAAAGCCACCACTCACCAACGCTTACCACATAATTGTGTCTGGGATGCCACCGTTTTTCCATTTGATTAGGATAGGAAATAATTGTGGAATCTGTTGGCAGATGTTTGCTTTTTAATGGTGCCCACTGTGTGAGGATTGTCTTCACACTGCATATGTGTAACTTCTACATAAAGGGAAGAGACCAGAGAAACCCTCTTATGCATCAATGAATGCATAAGGCCCCTAAAAAGTTCATTATCTTTCAAAGTGAATTTTTGGACTGAAATGTGACCCCACTTATACCTGGCTGTTTTACTTAACAGATTAAGTTTTGTTCTCTGGAAGATATTACCACTAAACTGCACACCATTGATTTAAGAGCTTGTAGCAGAGGAGTGCCCTGCATTCCTTCAGTGATATCATTTTGGCAGCCCCTTACCTCTGGTGTGAGGTATTTCATCATGATTTCCTTTCCTTTCTCTCCCAGTTTTTCATCTGGAGCAATTTCATACTCTGCCTGGAAAAGAAATAAAGAAAACATCAATATTTGTACTCATACTTCATCATTATAACTTCATTTTGGAGATGGCCTTAACTGAACATTCCACTTGAATAATTTGGAAGGCAAATATAATCTTCTGATGGAGGTAAACCTGTACAGTTGATCTAATTGAAAAGCAAAACACTGGTGTCAAGATGTTTTGACCAAGACCAAGAAAACGGTTCTCTGAAACTAGCCCTCTTTGACATGACCACATATGAGTAAATTTAATTTATTTATACTTTATAGATATGCCAAGCCCCAATGTTTTGAAAACATTTCTGATAATTAAGGACCCCTCTCACGGAGCTTTATTTGTTTTCACTCACTTAGATGTAGGGAGTAGAAATTAATTTTTCCAAATCATAAAGGAGGATTATTTGTTTTGCTAATCTCTATGACAGAAAAAACTACTTTACTTAGACATAAGGAGAGCTCTCTCAGGAGGTAGGGCTTTTGGAAGCTTGGGTCCTCCTGTGGATTTTTAATTTTTTCTCTCAGTATAACACTCATTTCTCAAACTCTTCCCCTTCTGCAGAAATTTTGCCAATTTTTTGCTTTTCGATGCAGACTTTTGAAAAGGGATATCTCAAAAACCTGGGATATTTCAGGGCTTAGAAAAATAAAAGGGACTAAATGAAGAGTGATGTTCAGTACATACTGGAATCTTGTTTGATTTCTATTGGGCATTACAAAAGAGAGCACACACACTGCATTTTTAAAATATTATTCTAAGGATTCTGCATATCATACCAGCACTGATCTGTGGTAAATTTTAGGATAAACTTTATTTAGGAAACAAAATATTACTTAGGCTTCACTGAGACATTAATAATTTTACTTAAAATTCTTCAGCAATGCAAATCATTAAAAGACAAGAAAAAAACCCATTTAAAGCTTGCAACCCCAAGTAAGACAATAACTAAATGATAACGACAAATTCTTAGAAACATTCTAATTTGTCACTGCCTGGGGTACAAAATTTTAGTCTTATGATGAAAAGGGCTTGCTGGAAAAAAAAGTCAATTCAACATATTTTTATGTATGCTCATATTAGAAAAAGGATCCCAGAACCTCTTGCCAAACCAATTAAGTAAGTTGGTCTAATACAATCTGCCTGAGATGATAAATGAGGAGGAAGTAAAAGACAACATACGGTAGATCAGTCTGAACTGGCACTTGGAAGAATGCACTTCAGAACTGTTGCACACTTTAGGACATATACATTGTTCTCAGTTTCATACAATAAATCAGATGGAAGGCTATAACAAATACTCTAGCTAAACAGACCAAGGAATAACATGAAAACCGCGAAAGTAATAATAATGCTATTAACCATGTATCCGGCCAATGCTGATTTAGCCATTGTAGTTTAAGCTTAAGACTTTATACAGCAGGGTGTTCAAACAATCAAATTTAGTCTGGTAAATGACAATGACCAAAAAGAAAATAAAACAGTACTGCTGATGAGAAATACACTGATGGTTAAAATCCACAAGTACAGTATTTCTTTCTTAGTAACCATGTCGGGGATGAACTGATTATGTTCTCATAAAACTTAATACAAGGGGCTTTTTTTTAAATCTTTCATTCAATACCCTGTCCATTTAGATGGTATCTGACTATAGGTCATTTCAGCTCTTGAACGCATGAACACTCCAGAGTGTTTATAGAATCTTAAGAGCATTTTTCTCCCAGAATCTCTGCTAAAGGATAAAACAAACAACCAAAAAAAAAAAAAAAGAGCAAATTAAAGAAGGTCGGAGAAGTTGCATTTTAGCTAGGCACTCACTGTTAATGATAACTTCAAAGACAGGCTAGGGGACTTTTAATTTAAAGTAAAGATTGAAATACAAAATGTCTTTTAAGAAGAGAAAATATTTGTATTTAAATTTAACTCTCTGTTCAGAAGATTGCCAAACACAAAAGCCAGAATTTATTGGTAATGTCTCAATGGAGAAGGATTTGGGAGCATAACTAAGCCCTCATAGAATCACAGAATATCAGGGTTGGAAGGGACCTCAGGAGGTCATTTAGTCCAACCCCCTGCTCAAAGCAGGACCAATTCAGCACAACTCATAAATCATCTAATAATTATCATTCATTGTTCCCTCAGCAGCTTTGAGATGCTAAATATTTTGCCGTATCAGAGGTCTAGCAAACAGATCCTTTAAGCGATTTCAGTGGAACTGCATTCATAGCAAATGTTGGTCAGGTAGTTCATATAGTCTGAATTAATATAGCATTTGCTTCAATAAAACAGAGATCAGGAATTCAGGTGGTATTCTCAATATATGCATCATATATTGTGATTGACTGGCAAGTACCACTGCTCTCTACTGGATATAATTAGACTTGGGTACATGTGTGATGGTCTTGTTTTGTGGCTTAAACAGAGATTTTAGTTCATTTCAAGTGGAAGAAGCCTGAGTTTCTGAAACAGATTACAAATTTGTATCTCTATGCCATATATATTCAATTTATTTTAAGATGTTAGTGTCTGCCCATAGCTATGGATTGGTGCCAGAGTGTTCCATGGGATTCCTGTCAATCCTAGATGCCTAAAGATAAGCTTTGCACTGACTAAACTTTGGTAGTGAAAGTAGTAAAAGGAATTATGTCATGTATCTGTTGGGGGTGGATGTAAATCACTGCCTTCCTCAAGACAAAAGCAAACCTCCTCAACCAGCTGTGATTAATTTTCCGCATAGTGTGATTATTGTAATCTATTAGATCTAGTAATTAAGACACCCCCCCCCCTTGAGAAAGCTACATCTGGTATAAAACACAGCAACTTGTCTGCTTAACAACATAGGATGCTGTGAACATGTCACCTCAGGGCTTTACTCTCTTAACTGGCTCCTAACTAGAGTCTAGTTCAAAGTCTCTGTTCAAATATTCAAAGTCCACCAGGGGATTGTCTCTAACTGCCATGAGAACGACTCTCCCTTTGCAACCATGACATCCCATTGTAGTTACCACAACAATGAAACTGTTGGCCAGTAGGCAAAGCAGGGAGGAAGACAGAACTTAAACAGGAGCGGGACATATGCTATGGAACTCCCTCCCACAAGAAACAGGAATGACCATGGGCCTCACTACATACAGAACGAAATGCAAAACTCATTTCTTTGACTAGCTTTCCCGCAGCAAGTTACACACACACACTCTATACTAAGCCTATTTCTCCTACAGCTGGGAACAATGAAAGAGATTTTCATAATTATTTCTATTTTAAGTTCTCAGGAAGTGCTCAGATACTAAGGGGACAGACAGACAGACAGATATGAGAGTGAAGATCTGAAATGGGCCTATAAACCCTAATATTGGTGAGTGTTAACAAAAATTCTCCTTTCGCTCAAATGTTAAAAGCTGGGTTTTGATTTTTGGAAGAAGATCATGAATTTTATCTCCAATATCACTTGCATGCTATTCAGCTCTCCATGGACACCTGTGCATATTCTGCCATAGATTGTTACAATAGGAAGAATTATATAAATACAGACAGATTAAGCGCATGGCCCAAGGTCACTGAAAGTTTGTTCTGGAGCCTGGATGAGTACTCAGGTCTGCTGACTCACAATCTTGTGCTTTAACCAGAAGACCCCTCCCCTTCTTCCTCAGCACTAGAAAAACTGGTTACAGTCTGAAAGTACATAATTAATAGCAATAGCATTATTAGTTACAATTGCAACATGGTGCACAATCGAAATTCCCTTAAAGTCCATTAAAGTCCACTAGGAAACTTTAAGTGTACCCAGCAGGGTCAGCATGGGCCAATTAGTGCACAGCACATTAGAGCACTTTAGAAATCACACCCCTGTAGCACACTGCGTAGACACGCCCTATATCTTAGTGTATGAGCAACCTTAATTCTGGCATTTTCTCATTTGAGTGCTTGCCTTTGCAACCTTAATAATATTCTTTTAACTTAGGTTTTTTATGGTGTGCCATTTCCCAGCTTGAAAAAATACACCAAAACTTAAATGTCATGTGGAGCCATATAGAGCCATGGGCCATCAGCATGGAATCTCGTAACTAGCAGCAGTAAAAGACTTATATTCCAGGTGGACATGCCAATACAGGAGGATGGAGACACACACTTTGCCCATGGGTTTCACAGCTATTTGCCAGATAGCAAAGGAATGTGGTGACTCAGGAGTAATAGGTTCAATTCCAGGTTCTGTAGACCCTTCTACCCCATCCCTCTAGTCTCTTCCTGTCCTCATCTGCTCCTATCCCCCCTCCACAGTCCCTACCCTGGTCCTGCTCCTGTCCCCTGACCTGGGCCTTCCCCCAGCTCATGCCCGTGTTCCCCTCTGCTCCTATCCTCCAACATCCTTGGTTCCTGCCAGTCTACACACTTCCTTCTGCTCTTGGCCCTTCTTCCCCTACCCCCAGCACCTGCTCCTAACCCCTCTCCTGCAAGTTTTCTACCCTCCTCATCAGCTGCCATGCATCTTTTCCCTCTCCCGCACCTGTTCCTAGCCTCTCTGCATTCAGGTCAGGCTGCTTCTGCCTTCTCCTCCATGCCACCCGGACACCAGCGGGGGGACACTGAGAGAAAAAGTTTCCCTGCCCTCGGTTTTCATAGCTGGCACCACTGGAGGAGCAACTGCAGTGAAAGTCCTGCTCAGCCCCTGCAGCCCAAGAATGGAGCATGCTCAGGCCCTCTGTTGGGATGGCACAAGAGCCGTGTGGTCAGCACACAGGCACTGGGAGGGGATGGAGCATGCTGAGAGTTGCCAGCAGGAGACTGCCAGCCTGGAGCAGGCTTGCTAAATGAGCTACCCAGAGATGCCTGGTGCAGGGAGGGAACCAGAAGCAGCTAGTTCCTTATAAAAGAGCTGAAGCCGTTGTTTGAGGAAGTAGACTCTGGGAAGTCTGCAGGGGAGTCAGATCTGAGCAGGACAGCTGCAAGCCAAACCCCCAGGTGGGTCACCCCTCGAGAACTCATAAAAAAGAAAAAGAACAAG